TCTTCGCCTCTCGTTTCTTAGCGACCATGCCACCCAGAACAGCGTCAAGCAAGCGTCGTCGTAGCGTTTGCAGGTGGATGTCGAAAACCGGCGTCCCACCAACTCGCCCCACCCAAACCACGAAAGGCCCAGCAGAAGCGAGCGAAAGGCCCAAGAACCACAGCACCTCGAAGCGTTCCTTCAGCTTCGCGACGCAGGCGTGAACTTTCTGGTGCAGGAGCTTCTCGGGGTGCTCCTGCAGCCACTGCCTCAGCAACAGAGGTGCTGGGCAGATACCACCTTGCACGGCCGCTTTGTTGGGAGGAGAATGGACCGAAGAAAGAACCCGCACACGTGAGGAACTGAGGAACATAGTCCCCCAACTCTTGCACCTTGGTCGTGTCGAATGTCTCAATCTGAACCACAAATCTACAGTATATGTGTCTGCCAAAAGTGCTACTAAAATGAACAAGCTGGTTGCTATGAAATCAGACAAAACATGACTGGTAGCTTGCAGGATTCAGGTCACCTTTGGAGCGCCGCGCTCGGAAAATTCGAGCGGTTCAGTCCATTCCCCACCCCGGCAGAGTGGTGAATCGCTGAGACAAACGCAAGTCAAAGCGAGTGTCCCTCTCAAAGCGAGTCACGACACTTTCTGCCGCAGCTGATCCTTGGCAAATTGCAGCTTCTCCTGCAAGCAAGCCCAGCTTGTCCCCTCAGCCTGCTTGCCACCTCCCATCTGCCAGGTCAACCCCCCCTGAAAGAATTTGTTGGTCTCAATCTGGGAATCTGTTCAACCGATGTGATGAGGCTTGGCTAGATCTCTTCCAGCTGCTTGTGCTGAACGCACGCGCCCACCGGCGCGAAGAGGTGCTCAAGAAGGAAGGCAGTTGGGTTGTCACATGTTTCTTATTGCAAGGGAGTGTCAAATCAAACAAGTGGAGATGAAAGCACCCCAAGTAAACCCCAAGTGCAGTGGTCTTCCAATTGGACAGCACCTGCCGGTGATGATGTTTTATGCTCCACCTTCCAACTCAGCAGGTCTTCCAACTCAGCTGGTCTCCTGGGTCTCCTTCGGTGAGTCGGTCTCCTTGGGAGTCTCCTCGCTCCGGTGTCCAACGTGCGGAACGTGTGCAGAACATGCTGAACGAGTCCAAAACGCCAAGAAACCAGCAGAGGCTCTGCATGTGTTTTCCCAGCAGAGGCCTCGTCATCTTCAAGCAGAACATCTCCCTGAAGGCCAGCAGAGGTCTGAAGGCCAATGGAGAGTTCACCAGAGCTTGGCTTCTTTAGCGGTCAAAGGACTCTTTGCAGGCGAAAACAAGCGAGCCGGTTTCAACGGCGGTACCTTTCAGCATCGGTTGAAACGGGGTGGACATCCTCCACACACCCATCTGGGTACCTTTCAACTCGCCTCTGCGATAGAAGTTTCATCCTATTGAAATGGTCTAAACTGTCTATATTATATAATACAGTAATTCTATTAGACAAGGTACTCGCCTGGGTATCTGATAGTGCTTTCATCATATATCATCCTATTTCATCCAACTTCGCCTCAGTCTGTCACCCACAATTTTGGGTCACGGCCTCCATTTGAGACAAGAGCTGAAGTCCCTGCACTACAGCCCATTCGCCCAGTTCCTCTGTGGCCAAGACCTGCGCGGAAAAGAAAAAACCGGCGGCTTGAAATGAATGGATCCATTGAGGGCTTAGAAGGAAGGGACTTTTCCCGGGTGCTTTACCAAGCTAGGGAAACATCGGAGACCAAACATTCTCTATCAGACATGTTGGATTCCGTGTTCAATTTCCATGTTAGAATCGAAAGGCAAACAGGGCTACTCTTGAATATTGATGGATGGCAAACACCTCCACCTACTGCAAATCCTGATGAAAAGATGGGTTCTTGCTGTACCGAATCCATCGACCCTGCGATCCATCGAATCGACCATCCAGCGCAACCCGCAAGCCCGCATGGAACAAATGAACGACCCCGCCAAGTCTTTTTGGCCACTCCCAAGTGCTGGTGAACAGGATCAAGCCTGTTGAGCTATCGGTGGGATGGCGTCTATTTCTTGCCTAGCCTGGTGTTCGCCAGGAGTACATGGTTTTTTTGATGGTTTTTGAGATGCAAACCATGATGCTCTGCCTCGCTCTACCCCCACCACCCACACACCGCCAGTTGAAGCTGCATTTTGACTTGTTCAAACATCCTCAAGCTCAAAGTTGTGCCGGGCATAAGGGCTGTTCTGAAATCGTTGCAACTTGTTGAGACATATTTGCCTTTGCAATTCCGGACAAATTCCTTTCACTGCCAGCAAACCTCTCACAAACATTCTATACCATTTGATGGGATGTAACTCTGCCCGGTGAAGTCTCACAGGATGTTGCATGGGCTTCGCCGCCCTGGCGGCCAGCTCTGAACGAAAAAGCTCCTGCTGAAATTGATGCATGTCTTGCCAGGGCCTCCGCTCGCAGTCTGACATATTCCACCACTTCATAGAGGCTTCCCAAAACTCCATGTTGAGTTCCATAAACTCAAGCCATTCTGATTCATTCCTGTCAAGCCCAAAAAATCCTGAAGCAGGATTCGCTTTCTGCAAGTCCGGGTCAAGTTGCAATGCCAGCATATCCTCCGGGGTCCTGTCTTGCATGAGTGATGGGGTGGTAAAATTGGCCAAATCAAGAAATCGACTGAAGTTCTCTCTTCCAACCTGACACTCCAGAAAGAGTGAATAAGCTGTATGCGGTGGTGGCAAGCTCCTTGGGTCTGCAAGAACATCTTGAAGGCTGTGGCGCTGTGCATTGATAAGGAACTCCACGTGAAAGAGAAACCGGTTTGCCCAGGAGACGTTTCTGGCCAGGGTGGCCATTTCGTCTAAGCCTGCACGGATCCTCTGCCGCCGAGGTGGCTCTGCAAATTGAAGATCATCAAGCAGATCTTGCAAAGGTGAGAAGGGATCCTTTGGCCTACTTTCAAAAGTAGCCAACTCTTCCAATGTGTGGCAAAGCAAAGTGAAGGCCTCTGGCAACCTCCATTCAAAGACAAAACCATGCAATGAGTACAACAAGATGGACTGCATGGCCATGCGCTTGACAAGATGTTCCACCAAAAAGCTTGGAACCCCAGAAATGTTTGCAAACGCTGCTTTGAGCTCTCGGATTGCCACTCGCGCTCCTGCATTGTCTCTCAGAAATTCCCCCAAGTCGGCATCGATCTTGGATCGGTTGTCCGATCCCAAGAACAACGGAAAATCCACAGCCGTCCAATCAAAATAGGAGGCGTTGCGAGGTACGAGTTCAATCAGAGTGGAATTGATTTGCAGTTGTACAGCGATGCGCCTCTCGGACAACTTGGCTTTCAATTCCATTTTCTCTTTCAGGCACTCCAGCAGTTTATCTCTGATGTTCGTTGTGACTGGAATTCCAGGCACTTCGAAGTAAAAGTCCCAATCACTCGAAGCTAGATCCGTCTTTCTGCTGCTTGAGCCTCCTGGAGTCAATATCACCTGCTGTCGAAAAAACTGGGACATGACAACCTCCAACTTCTGCATAATGTCCAAAGGCACCTCTGGGTGCAAATTCAATGGCTCCTCCGGTTGTGGAGCCTTTCCTCGAACTTTGAGCCCTAGCGATCGTTGTCGATTCGCCATGGAAGGGAGTGGTTCCAATCCTTGCTGAATAAGAAGCCGTGCCTTCACACAAGCAGGTTGATTGATCCACTCTTCCCTGTGAATGGATTCCCAAGCCCACACGGGCTGGGACATGTCGGCAAACTTTGGCAAAGGTAAAGTAACGTTGCCAAGAGTATCGAAATCACTCAAGGAGCCGCCCCTTGCAGAGGGTGGAGGAGACTCCGTCTCAAGACGATATCCGCTACCGCTACCCTGACTTTGGCTTCGTGAGCGAAGCAGTTCGGCCACTTCCTTCGACTTGGCCAGGTGCACGAGGGAGGTCTTAAAGAAAGCACTGTCGTTTTCGCTAAACCATTTGTAGCTTGATGTGTCAGGGAACTCTGAAAACGCCATTGCAGCCGGAGCGGCAAAAGGCAAATCAGGGTCTGCTCCTGCTTCTAGTAGCAATTTTACCAAAGGAACACTATCCTTGAACACAGCCATTGCCAGGGGTGCATTTTGGACACGATTGACTGTGGCTGTGGCATTGGCACCGGCATCCTGAGCTGGAGGAAACAACTGATGGAAACCATTCGCCTGTATCAAAAGTAATCTGAAATAGATCGAAATGCCAGGAACTGTTGTTTACTTTAGAGGCCGCCAGTTGTTTTTAGGAATGCTGCTCTCGAGCGGCGTTCCGCGAAAAGATCAGATTTTGCGGCACTGCGTGCAGATTTCGTGGTGCATAAGCCCACAAAGCCACAGCTTTAAGGACCTTGTGTGCTACATTGGCCAGAGACCGCAGCATGGATTGAGAATCTAGCCATCCACCACGGCAACTGGCAACTGTACATGCATCTTGATGGGGCACCTGCAGCAGTACAATGCCTACAATGCTCATCCTGCAGCAGCACAGTGCTCACAACACTGGCAGATTGCTCACAGAAGCCACCAAAAGCCGCGAAAAGACAACACACAGGCCACCAAAAGCCAACAGAAGCCACCAAAAGCGTGGAAAAAGGATGAAAAAGGATATTGTTTAAAAAAATACAAGTTCCTTTGCTTTGGAGGTGTGAGAACAGACTCCAAAACAAAATGAAAGTTCGCGATATTCTCCGTCTTAGTTTTGTCTGTGATTCTCAGCACCGCCAGGCGCTCAAAAGAATAGCCTTGTCCAAAATAGATCAAGAGCAGAAGAGCCGCCGGGTGGTTTGTATCGAATGCGTACTGTAGCAGTACGTCCCGCAGCAAGGATACCAACCGAAGGTCACCAAGCACTACAGCTATAGCAAGGGGATGCAAGGGGCCAAGTTTGGCAAAGACGGATCAGCAAACGGATCGGCCCATGTGCAGCATCTGGCTTGGAGGAGTTTCTCCAAAGTGTATACAGCAAGTGCTTCGTGGTGTAGCTTAACCTACCCTAATTACCCTTAGACTTCTCACAAAAAAATAAAGAACTTTCTCAGAAAACCCAAGGGCCAGGAGCTCTTTCACGGTGTCCCTCTCACCATCCAGAACTGCGTGGAACAAGTCAAGGTCCAAAGCAGCCTGCCACTTGTCGTCAGGTCCACTGAAACGGCCGCCTGGCTGTACCAAGCATTTGGTCAAGGGCTTTCCGCGCGTCAAAATGAATCTCAAGTTGAAGCTGAATGCTGTCTTATCAGGATATAGGTCAATCACCTATGATAGGCTACACCCATCACAATCTCACTGCTGGCTGCGAACCAACTTTAATGGGACGGTATGCTTGATCAGTGATTACCTAACGCAAGAGACTCCATAGGGATGGTAAAAGTGCCTAGGGTGCCAAGCATTCAGGAAGTTAAACAAGTTGATGTAAAAAAGGATGCAAGTCGCGATGAACCATAATGCCCCTGTGGATGGCTATCCATTGCAGAGTTGGATAGCCAAAAACCACCCATTCCTCATGGGACACTTGTGGCAGCTTGTGTCTTTTCACTTCTTTAGGTAACTTGGTGTCCCACAGCGCTTGATGCACTTGCTGTGTTTCGTGTGAACTGCTTTCTGTGTCGCATTTCCAAAGTATGTATGTATTATCCAAAAAGGTGGTTTAATCTAATCTTTACATAATCCCAAACGATGCCTGGATGATGTCCGGACGATGTCTAGACGATGCCCAAATCGAGCCATTTCCTACCTCTGCCCTACACACCAGCTGCAAACATGCTTTTCGTTCAGGGCACAGTTATCGAATCCAATGGTTCAGAGAGGATCTGGCAACAAACAGGTGAAAGCCCATTATGCATAGAAATTCCAAGTTCAAAAAGTTCGCGTTGCAATACAAGATGCACCGATATTCGTGCTTGCATGGGCACGCAAGTACGACGGTCACGTTCTTGGATCAAACGAACGTGCTTTCCTGTCATGTTCCGGCACTCAAACTGCACATCAACTGTTCACAGGATGGTTTCACATCGGTGTTCTTTCATTGATGCATGGCTGCAGCTTATTCCTTGTATTACATCACTGATCGCATCTAATAGATCCTGTAAGTCTTTCTTAGCTTGTAGGTCACGTAAGCCTTTGATGGAAGTGACCATATTTGGGGTCTCTTTGTCTTCGGTGATGGTCAAGATCTAAACTAGGTGTTGATTAGCAAGGCACAAGCGCGAGGAACTGCCAGGTCATTTGGTCTGCTTCGAGGGTTCAAAGCCCTCAGTAGAAATCCCAGCGTCAGTTGACCTTGGCAGCCACTGGTTGTTACTCAGCGGTGAGGTGCTTGAAAAAAATCCCGAGGAGGAGTGATGTTTTTTGTTGAACATGGCCATTAACTGAACCCTCAATAGGACGGTAGATCAACCAACCCACGAGCAAACCCCTTGGCTTTTGTTGGCTTTTGCGTGCGAACTGGGGTACTGCCGGTACTGGGTGAAGGGGTCCGCACCCGACTTGCAGTTTCTTGGATCCTCCATTCGTGACTCACCACTGATGGAAATCATGTCTTTAATCCATTTCTGGACAAAAAAACATCAAACCTTGCACCGCAAGTCACTACTCCTGATTCACCCCACCACGTTTCAGAAAAAGAAGGGTGCGGGGCCCTTCTTTGCAGGTCAGAGCGGCCACATCCCATCGCCAAGCCCAAAGCCAGCAGGGTATATCTCTTTGGCACTCGACGTTGGCAGTGTGAGCCCTCATGAATCATGGCTCCGGACGAGAGAGCCGGAGTGTCCAATGAGAATCAGTAAAGGCAGCTGGCAATACCCATGTTGCCCCAGCTGGAAACATCCATGTTCATGGACTTGTTCTGAAGCAAAGTCTGGATTCCCCAGCTGAGCTTGATGGATCATATGTCCCCTGGCTCGACAGCTTCGGAAAATAAGCTTCGCAGCTGCACGTCTTTCCAGCTTCCCCCAACTTTGATGTCAAATGAGCCAAACAAGGACGCTACTAGGGGCTCCTGGCCTTACTACTAGGAACAAGCTATTAGGGCTCCTGGCATCGCTACGAGCAAGAACGCCACTAGTAGCTCCTGGCCTTACTAACATCCAGTCACTGGTGGAAGACAAGATTGATACAGTAATTATATACCTCTCTTCTCCCCACCTCCTCTAGGGTCTTTTGTGACATGCAGTGCCCAACCGATACGTACATAACATGTTGTCAAAACTTTCATCAACAATTTTGAGCGTATCTCAAAGCTGGCAAAGCTCCTGGTGCCAAGTGCCGAGTGTGGTGTTCATCCATTTCCCCTGCAAAAAGCAGGAAGAGTTTTCCGAAAACCAAGCCTCACAAAACCTCCTGAGTCCAAAAAGAAAGCTGGTTCCAAATGTGGATTTATCAGGGGCCATGGGCACCTCCTACCTTGGTCCTTTTCACTGCTGAAGCCGCTAGCGGAGATCTACAGATCGCCTACAGCCAAAGTACTTGGATTCTCTAACAGCATCACCCTCTATCCCCTTCCGAGTGCGAAAAAAAATGGATCTACCAGCCGCTGGATGTCTCCCAGAACCAACCAAAGCACCCCAGATCCGAGCAACCCAACCTTCCCAACCGCCGCAGAATCCGCCCCCAACCGCGCCGATCGCTCGCCTCGAAGCGTGTCAGAGCGCCGTCCCAGCGCCGCGCCGCGTCGATCCTGCGGGTCGTTTCGGAGCTCGTAGGGAGCAGCGTGGCGAGTTTGGGAGGGCAGGCGGAAGCTGCTTTTGGAGTACATTGGAAGCCAGATCGTTGGATTTGCAGGCGTCAAGCAAATCGAAGATAGGATGGGGCAGAATAGAAACCAAGCATTCGCATGCATTCGCCAGATTGAAAGAATGTTTACAGATTCTGTTGAAGAATCGCAAGGCCACTAGCTACGTGCACATGGTTTTGACCGGCTCGAATGATCAAAATATGTCACCTCTCTGCCCCAAACCGTATCTGTCTGCACCCAGAATATGTATCAGTCCCACTACAATCACCTGAAAGTGTGCGAAATTCGGACCTAGAAAGGTCTTTCTGAGAATGGCGCCAGTCATTCCGGACATTGTGCGCTGCAACACGTGCAAAAACGCATGTTAAAAGACTTGTTTTGGGGATCCGCACGGGTCATCGAGCTTGCAAGACCTTGCAGCCAAGATGGAGAGCATGGGCAGCCCAGTGCAAATGCATCGAATCAAGCACTCAGATTTGTTGATAGATGCTGTGGCATGCTCCCCAACTCCCCAACTCAACAAACAAGACTGCAAAAACACTCCACCCACGGGCGTTCGCAGAGAGGCACCACCCACAAGCCAGGGTCAAAAATGACGAACTATTATTGTAGTACAATGTAGTATATACATAAGAATAGTTACTCCGTGTTTGAAGCTCATGCTTGGAATTTCTAACCCTCGGATTCCCGCCAAACCCACTGGTTGTCTTGTTCAATGTGCATCCTTGCTATCAACAAGTATTGTAGCCATGAATGTCCACCTCCATATATGACACTTCAGAGTGAGCACATAAAAGCCCTCCCCTGAGTGCAACCACCACTTCAAGAACCATCCATATCTTTGCCACTTACCTTGCCAGTTGAAGACATCAAACAAACATGTAGACCGTAGACCATTCAAAATCCATGTATATATATATATAAATCCACCTCAGACGCATGCAAGGTTCATCCAAACCACCAGAACATGTCCACCATCCAAACCCATCGACATCTCCACCCTCTTGCGCGCCCCTGCTCAATGAGCTCCAAGAGCTCTCTGTCTCGCTCTGAGGCCGGAGGAGCCTCGAAGAACCTGTGCCATCCCAACATGTCCCAACATGTCTCGACAAGGCAGCTCCACCCAGTTTGCTTGGGATTTGAATTGGAATTTGCTGGCCTCCCCGTTTTGGAAAACCAGGGGCAGTGCAGTTCTTCCATCTTCCTTCAGCAGCTAAGCATGTTTTAATGGACTTGAAGACGAAGGTCACACAGCCTGAGGTGCTGCTGCCTTGAACAGAAACAGGTCCAGCTAAACGCTTGGTCCACGGGTGACAAGAAGATGGACTAGAGGGGCGGTGGGTCCTCACAGTCGCTGACCCGACTTTCCCAAAAAGGTCAAACATGACAGCACGGCGCTTCTTCGATCTTTCATTTGGGCCATCTACTTTGAACTGTACAGAACCTGCCTACGATCAAACAACATCCCACCACCTTCCCCAGAAACACTACTCCAACCGACACCAGCCCGGCCTCAAAAAATGACTCAACCCACCCGCCTTTCTTCCACGGCGGTCGCCATCATGGCAGATTCCACCAGGCTCAGCTCTGTCCAGGTCCTGCAATCCACCTGGCCACAGCAACCAACGCCAATGGATTCAGGGAAAACAAGCTGGTCTGAGGAATTCTGGGAGTGACATGCAAAATGGGTACAGAGAGAAGCTGGACCATTTAGACCAAGACCATGACTCAGTAGTCCTCCTAACCATGGTCAAGTGAACGACTTGTTTAAGACCAAACGGCAGGACAGGCACGTGGTGCAAAACACACGAGGCAACACGACACGTTCCTTGCCTTCTCTTCCAAGTCCTCAAGCTCTTTCTTCATGTCCTCCGACCCGGGACAGAGCGGCTCACTCCGTCCAGGCCGGCGCTTGGGACGGGGATCCGAACTGGACGAAGGTCGAACCGGGATGAAGGTCGTACGACTGGAAGTTGTACAGTTGGAAGGTGGCGAAAGCTTTCCCAAATCCATCCAAATCTTGCGGTTTTTTCAGCAAAGAACCAAAGAACCCATGACAGCAGTCCACTCCGTTCGTTTTGGGCGGGTACAAGTAGCAGGGTCCCGGGGTTCTTCCCATTCATGCTGTGAGATGTTTGAATTTATCCCCTCAAAGCCATCCGACTGTGTGTCCCGGCAAAGGCGCCAAGGATGCATGAAAAATGGGAGACGAGAGGGAGAGGCGCTGTCATGGAAAACTCTCCTCCGTGAACCGAGGAAGTAGAAAAACCCATATCTTGTGCCAGTGCACAACAGAGACTTTGGGGTGAGCAAGGAGTCCAGGAGGGTCGAGTGAGGCGACCTGTAGGATCTCTCGACGTAGGTATCACCGATGAACGTCGTGGATTGACGAGCAACTAGTGGATTGGATAGCGGGGACAATGGCAAATCACCTCGCCATAGGCCTCAACCACTGGATCTTCTCCGACTTTGGAGGATTTCCTCCACCACCACTCTCACATACTCTCACCACTCTCTGCTTCCTCCGCTTCCGCACCTCCTCAGTGGCTGGCTGCCAGGTCTTACCATTGGGAGACCGCCCACTCAGAGGGGAGGCCGTCAGCGCTAAGACCTCAGGGCCGTCAGGCCGGTGACGCCGACCCCACGTGTCGGTCCGGCGTCAAAGCGTGCAGTTGGTCGAAAGGCCACGTGTCGGTCCACCGAAAAAAGAGGTCTATCAAAGGGAGAACAAAAACCGTGTGTGGTTGCTGTGGGTGATGGATGGTGATGGATGGGTGATGGATGGTGATGGATGGGTGATGGATGGTGATGGATGGTGATGGATGGTGATGGTGTTAGCCTTTGCTTTGAGTTAAAGAGTAAACCAGTAAACCCATCAATGCCAAGAAGCACTGAGAACGGTGTCATTGGTGTAATCAGATGACTTTCACGTTCTCTTACAACATGTGTCAAAACTGGGCTCCCTCGTTTTCACTCAAACCGTTTCATTGGGAAAATGGTAAGCACATGTAATTGACTGTAATTGCATCACTCCGGGTATCAAGTCTTGGAGATATGCCCACACACGCGACAGGTGGATCTGAGTCCCAGTGGCTCTGGGCCTTTGCTCCTGGGGCACAGCACCTGGCTGCTCATCAGATCATCAGATCTCGTGATGCAAGTGCTCCGTGAAGAAGGAGACACCAATACACACAGAATATCACTTATAGTTGTTAAAAATCCCTGTTTTGAGACCAAGCATGACCAATCAATAGGATATCTATTTGGTGGCCTTTATGTTCGGAAAACAAGGGCCCAAAAAGTATGGATTCTCAACCCTGCTTCTCAAGACAATGATCTGGCTAATTCATACGCCTGCGTGTCCGTGTGTATCTTTTAGACGTTGAGACAAAAGGAGTTTTTAGCCACCGGTGTTTTGCAATTGTTGATACATATACATATGCGACTTGGGCGCCACGTCGTCCCAACACAAGCTCAGGCCGCTGTAGAAACGACTCATCAGGATGGCATATTCCTAGCGACTGCTGCGCATTCCGAAGCGTCGGAATGGCGGTTCTTCAGCTGTGGACGAGGGCCGTGGCGTGGTACGAGGGCTGTAACGCCCGAAGGGGTCCATCCGCCGAGGCAGCGAGGTAGCCGGTCGGATGACATACTTCACACAAAGGTATGGTCTCGTTCGACGTCAAAGCGGCCGGCATGCCCACAAAGGAAGAAGATGAGAAGAAAAACAGTCATGCTACATGAGGAGACAACTGAATCGCATCCAACATACAAAGTTCCGTAGACAACTCATGATGCTACCTCATGAATTCAGAAGCTTCGCGCAACCACCAATCACCATCCCAAACCTGCAGTAACCCAGATCAGAACCACTTCAGCATGCCGAATATGCACAACTTGCTACTCACCCACTTTCGATGGCTAAAGCGGCTCAAAGCAGTCTTTTTGCGGGCGAGTCGGGCAAAAGCGACTTGGGAGACCCGGCAGATGTGCCCTTGAGCTGGTGAGCC